TAAATGGAGTTGAGCGTAAAAGCGGAAGAGAGACGACGCGCAATCGTGATGTAACGAAAAGATAAAACGAACGGAGGAAAAGGAAATGGTAAACAAAAGGAAATACCGCGTTCGCCTTGCGAATCTATCAAGTTTTCCTAATCGTATATATTTCCTGTTTTTCGCACAGAGTAGAGTATCGTATATTTGCGATTTTTTTTGCACGCTGAGGTATATTCAAATTCATTTGGATTATAAAATACAGAATGTACGAGAGGAAATTTTATATTTTTATAATATATAATTTTTATTAATGATCCTCGACAAAGATAACTATATATTTAGCTATACAAAAAAGATTTAAATTAATGTTGTAATTCGCGATTTATTTTATGAAGCAGAAGGTGTGATCGTTTATTGCATCAGACAGAAAGAAAAAATTGTTTCTCATTTGCCTAGTGCATTGGACTGGCCTTTAATGAATGTTTGAAAACATGCGCCCGCTCGTAACGAGATTTACGCGAACTTTCACACGTGTAAAATAGTGTTTGCTACGACTATAACGGTCTAGCGTGTAATTTGCAAAAACCGGACGAGCTAGTTTTTTGGGACAAGCACAAAAAAGGAGAAACCAAGTAAATTTAATTATTCTGAAATTGGACCAGAAATATAAAGCTTATCTTTATTTTTTATATATTAGAAAGTAAATGAAGTTTAATTTCAAAAGTCAATTTAATTTAAAACTTTGCCTCTCTCAAAATAAAATTAAACAGCTTTGTTAACTCATTTTCCTTTTAAGATTTATGTTTTTTAAATATACAATTTCTATGTTTTTTGTATGTTTTTTAAACATACAAATTTATTTTGTATGTATTCTTGCTTATCATTAAAATAAATATCATGGTATTATCATAAATAATAATAACTGATCCAAAATGTATGTATAAGCGTTTATGCTTACCTTAGTGTAAAGAAGCTCCCGCGAAATTCGGCGGAAATGATTGTTGAGCAGCCAGTAGAGGAAAGGATTCCAAAAGCTGTTGGAGAGAGCCAGCCACGTGGCCAAGAAGTCGAGGAACGGTGGTGGCTTGCTTCCGGTGCAGGCTACAACGACTTCCTGAATTGTCCACGGTGTGACCATGACGATGAAACCTAAACTCATCGCGGCCATTGTTCGCGAGGCCGAAGTCGACAATCGTCTCTCGTGGGCAACAAGCTGAAATATATAAGACATTTCTTTCGTAGCGCTCTCACCTTGTTTAGATAGAAGTTTTGATACAGCTCTCCTCTCGATAAACCTACTTATACGATAAAGGAGAGAATAAGCAGACAACCGTTCTCTTTATTTGTACTGAATACCCAGACAATACAGAAGAAGCATCTAAAATATATTCCAAGATTCCGAGACATTCTTTAGATATCTTTAAGATGCTGTTTGCAGTTTGTATTGCGTAAGCAGAAAACTTATTTCATCTTTAGAACAAACACAATAGCATCTAACATAATAAATACATAAATTTTGATTTATGTTAAATTTATAATAACGATGATTTAAATTTTGTCATAGAATATTAAAGTTAAATGAAACGAAGAAATCTATTTTTAATGAGATAACGACGTTTCATTCTTCATTAAACATCCTTCTCAGACGATGGAACTCATCTTCTTAATTACTCTTTCGGCTAATAAATTTTAAAATGGAAAGTTGAGTTTTAACGTTGGCTTGATTACCGTCGACTTTCAGACTTTGTGTAATGCTTATGTTTAATTACAATGATTATACCGTGAGCAAAATTTGAATGAAAGATTAAACAAGACTATTTTCTCTTCATATTAAACTTTGAACACAGAAAATGAGAAAATAAAACTTTTAAATCCTCTACTTTCTAATATAAAAATGTTAGGAAGTTTAATATTGTCACGGCCTTGCAAATAACCTTATTAAAGTTCAAAGTCCATTCCATAAATAAGTTTTAAGTATGCGTCTTTTACGGTCACTGTCGATGTTCTAAATCTATAACGACCTGTTCTTCGATATTCCCCGATGCAATCGTTCGGAAAAGTAACGGCCCCACATTATCGATATTTTCTTAAAAGCCCGCTAACACTAGTCTTGAGAACTTTCGCGGAATTTTTCAGATTATTGTAAGAAAAGTCAAATCAGATAATAACATTTATTCAATAAAATTTTGTGTTAGTTAGTGCTGTTCTAATGCGAGGTAAAAGAATTGTTTTAGTCATTGGTTAATTTTTTTGTTTATAATGAGGTAAAATAATATTTTTAGAGAAGGAAAAGTTAAAGGTATTGAGGAATGGAAGCAACACTTACAATTGAAAAGTTGCATCTATGATAACGAGGATTACCTAACGCAAGAAAAGCGTGATTTTCTTTTTAGCCATATGCTATGAATACGTCACATCATAGTCTCGGAATTATTAATCTCGAAGGCAGATGTAATGTCAAAAAAGATCCGGACGAATGGCTCTTAACGCAGAAAAGGCTTGCCAACGCGTCTCAGGCTTGACTTGTCTTTTAGGCCGGCTTGACACGGTTACGGAAGTCGCTAAGCGCTAAGCTCGTCAGCATCAAAGCCTCTCGTCTGGCGGCAGTAAAGGGATTACGAATCTGCTCGTTTAGCTGGATCCGTCCATTTCCACTTCCTTCCTTCGCTTTTCTCTTGCCTTCTCCCTCTCACTCATTTCTCTTTCGCATTACCTTCTATACGGCACTATATATTGGTTCTCTTTACAAGTTTCGAGATTATGACGTTAATACCTAGACAAGTATGACTCAAATCGGTAATAGTATGATTCTCCCAACATCCGGCAAAATCGTTCAGGAGGATACAATAGTAGTAGTCGAGATACTTTCATACTGAAGGAGTATAGTTCTGTGACTTTTGTATATATTGAATCGTTTAAAAATTGTATAAGTAATATTGGACACATTCATTGCATATATACATTTTAAAATATTATTAAATATGTAGATTTACAGACTTTTGTTTATTATATAAAAATACAATAATAATTATGTAATATTTTATGGGCTTGAAGAATTTCTTATTTATTACTAGTATATTGCGTTTTCTCTGTTTAGAAAGGTTGAATGGATTAGAGTAGAGGATCGCAAGATATACAGGATCTCGGAGAAAAGGCGGGGATGAAGAAGACAAGAATCCAGACGGAAATGCCGTCCGAGCTATTAGCATATCATACTGGTGGCGGAAAGGCAAAGCGTGAGATAAACTATTCGATCGAAGTATTAGCATTCCGGTTCGATTTATCGTCCTAACTTTAGCGAGTGGGAAATCCTGGTGCTCTTTTTAACCTATCTTGTCTATATATCTATGACTATTCTTACCAAGTTGACAGTTTGTTAAACTTTCAATAAGTTAGATTTTCAAAAATGTATTTTTTTTTATTAGACATTTTATTTTAGATCATGTACTTAAGCGGGCTATTTCATCTATTTCCGATAGAACACATATGATTACGAAACAACATAAATTTCAAGATCTTGATACTAATATCACATAGCGTATTTCGTATCAAGCGTTTTTCATTCCATCGTTGTAAAGCTACTTTATCGATGATCTGTGTTTCGATGTTATGGAATTTTAAATTTACGACTTTCCGGAGACATTGAAATTATCTATCGTTGTTGCATAGCAGTTCCGGAAAAAAGTTGGAAAATATTTGGAATTTCATACGAGGAGAATGAAATCCGTCGAAGGAAAAGAATTGACGATATGACGATGTTTACTGCAATATAATCCATAAGATTATCGAAAGTTTCTATACATTGCAGTAATTTCAAAGTGACGCAGATACGAAATTAAACAAAAGGGTTGATAGGATATTAGAAAATGTGTTTGATATTTTTTTAATTTCTTTCCTCAAATTAGTATGCTGCAAAATGTTCAAATTGACTAATCAAATTAGTATGCTAGAAAATATATTAATTCATTTATTTATCTAGAAAATAAAAATATGTTTTAATTCTTTTTTATAACATTTATATAAGAAATAAGAGGTGCTTTATATATTTGTAATTATATATATGTCTATTTACACATTGTTGTAACTGCATAAAAAGAAACATATGTAAGAGTAATTAAGATTTGCAGCTCTAGATGAATAATTACGAAATAAGCAAGCTTTTAACACGGTTCATGATTCTACGAATAATCCTATTATCACAGTAGATGGTGAGGCATAGAATGCAGCGTAAAATTTACATATCTCTCCACGTGCCATTCGCAGAATGTGCGCATTTACAACAATGCGGACATTGTTTCTGTCGTAATTATGCATGCTGTTACACCATTTCATAACAATTCACGATATGCGGATGCACATTAAAGAGATTACCTATCAAAATGATTATATATGGAAGTGTTTGTACAATTATCTGAATTTCTTAAACAGCCATTCTGAAAAAATTATCTTTAAAAATGTGCATTATACAATTGCACTACACGGCACATATGGCATTAATTCAAATCAACAATATATTTTAACACAAATATTATTTAATAAAACTTTACGAATAAAAATGATACTTGTATGTAAAAAAGCTTTAATTACGTTAATCAGACTGACATTATTATTTTGCATATATTTGCAAACTTTACAAATATAATCTAATTATCGGATGTATCATATAGTTACATGTAGTTGATGCATTATATATAGGATGTTTAACCGTTCCATCGAGAATGTCCGCGGAAATAATTATGGTCGATAATTAAATTCACGTTAATGATCATCGTATGTTTAATGAGAGTAACATTTAATCTCCTCTGCAACGTGAATCTCTCCACAAGAGGTCAGTGTATCATCATCAGTATATGAGCGTTTAATCTTGCGCAATTCAGCAGTAGCGAACAAATTATGATTACATGCACCCACGATGATTTCTGTCTCACTTTTTCACTTTTTTTCTTTTTCTGCTATTTATTATATTTAGAATTTCTATTACATATGCGGAGAAATATACGTGTCTTTTCGGCAAACATAAAATCTGCTTTGATGAAATAATTTCAGTGATAAAGATAAGCAAAAACTTCATTATACAAGATGTTTTACTGATCAAAAAGGCATTCGTATTAAGAGGCTGTACATACTTATAATATAGCAAAGTGAATGTAACACAGGTACATTTTTGAGAAAAAATTTATTCGTAAATACGAGAGTTGATTAAAAATCCGACCTTATCTTTTTTGCGTCAATCAGCTGCAGTCCGATGACAGGACTAGCGTAGCATGCAAATCATCGTATGTTTAATGAGAGTAACATTTAATCTCCTCTGCAACGTGAATCTCTCCACAAGAGGTTATATCATCAGTATATGAGCGTTTAATCTTGCGCAATTCAGCAGTAGCGAACAAATTATGATTACATGCACCCACGATGATTTCTGTCTCACTTTTTCACTTTTTTTCTTTTTCTGCTATTTATTATATTTAGAATTTCTATTACATATGCGGAGAAATATACGTGTCTTTTCGGCAAACATAAAATCTGCTTTGATGAAATAATTTCAGTGATAAAGATAAGCAAAAACTTCATTATACAAGATGTTTTACTGATCAAAAAGGCATTCGTATTAAGAGGCTGTACATACTTATAATATAGCAAAGTGAATGTAACACAGGTACATTTTTGAGAAAAAATTTATTCGTAAATACGAGAGTTGATTAAAAATCCGACCTTATCTTTTTTGCGTCAATCAGCTGCAGTCCGATGACAGGACTAGCGTAGCATGCAACCTTGGATGCTATACATGCATGATCTTTTAATTGCTGCTAGGCAACCGTGATAGTTGCACGTGTATTCAGTGCCCGTCGCATTTCGTGTTTCCAGCTAAAATAATTGAATGTGTTTAGCAAAAAATCTGCATTAAATTTTGTCAAAAACTCGGTGATATGCAATCAGAGACAATTAAAAAGATACAAAAGATACTTTTTGATCAGACCTCGTACATGATAAATATTGCCAAAGATATCGTTTTCTCTCTCAAAATCTTTTGTGAATGGTTTGCCTCTATCGAGTTTTTTTTATCGCTACATCATCGTGGATTATTTCCTGTTTTCGACAAAAAGCATTTCCATTGAAATCTCCTGCAAATTTCCGGATAAATATTCGTGCCGGCGAAGACTTATGAGATACTTTCGCGTAAATTGTGCTTAAATTACAAGTAAACGACGAAGA